CAGGGCTGGCCTGGAGGCACAGCTGTCTGGGGGTGTGGGGCAGGAACAGCAGCTGCCATGGGGCAGGACTGAGGTACCTCAGCAGAATGGGGCCGAGGGAGGGAGTAGCAGGGGGCTGCAGGTCACAGCTGTGCGTGGGTCTGGCCAAGGACTCCAACTCCCCAGGCTCAGCGAGTAGGCGAGAGCGAAGAAAGGGCCCGGAGGAGCCAGAGCAGAACACATAACCAGGCCCCACAGCCGAGCCGTGTCCAAATAGCCCCTGGCTGCCCAAACGCCCTGACTCGACAGGACCACAACGGGGCAGGCCGGGCAGTCCCTGCCTCTGGCACGCGGGGCAGGGGCACAGTGCTCCGGGTTCCCAGGCATTCGGGGCTGGTTTGCTCAGCCGGCAGAGAGACGCGAGCACAGGGGGGGGGGGACTGTCCTCACCTTCCTCCTCTCGTAATCGGAGAATTTGTTCTGGAAAGGAAGCGCAGTCGTTAGGAGAGAGGTATTCACTGCGGGGGCTGCGCTCGCTAGGCCGCGCTGTCCCTCGCAGCGGTGGAACTGAGAACCCCCCCCGCACGCGACGCCAGTGACACCAAGTATGGGCAGCACCGTGCCGGCAGGAGCTCCCACCTCGCTGGAGCTGGAGTCGTTACAGAGCGGCTGCGCCCCTGCACGCTCTCTAGTGTAGACACGGCCCGGCCTACGCCACAGCCAGATTCCCAGAGCTCCAGTGATCCACACGTGCCGGCCCGAGCCCCGGGCCAGATGCAGCTGGGCTGGAGGCAGAAAGCTCCTGCCGCCTGGGGATGTGGGTATTCGGAGAGAAAGCCCCTTCCAGCACTGGAGGAGGCTTTTGCTCTAGCACAGCACAGCGACCGCACCCTGCTGTGCGCACAGACGTGGCCTGACAGCCTGCTAACAGGACAGCCGCATTAGAGAGGAAACGGCCCGGCCACGGCCACGGCGCCAGTCTGAGAGCTCGCTGCCCAGCACGGCCACACGGGGGGAGCGCCCCCCGCTCAGCCGGGTGCTGCTGAGATTCAGAACCTGCTGGAAAGCTGCTCCAGCTGGGGCCACTGAGGTTCAGACCAGGCTGTAACAGGTGCCTCCGCTCCCTCCACCAGACCCTAGTGTAAGTCCAGAGTAACTCCCTGGCTGTGAGTGGAGACTCGTCAGACGCTGCCCCACTCCATGGAGAGGTGGCAGGGGCTGCGAACACGCAGAGCTCCCATCTCTACACCGGAGATAAGGAGGCGCCCCCCTGGCTATGAGCCTGGCAACCCAAGGGGGTAGCACCAAGCTCCCCGTGCCCAGTCTGCAGCCTGCTCGCCGGTCACTTTCAGGTTCTCCTGCCCTGGAGACGTTGGGGTTGCAGGCGGCGGCGCGGAAACCCAAATCCAATCCAATCTCTTCATTCATTGCACAAAACCGGGGGGAGGCGGCTCTGCAGCTGCCTGCTTCCCTGCAGGAGATTCCCCACTAAGCTCGGAGGGCACCTGTAACTGGAAGGGGATCTAGCCCCACCCAAATAGCTGATGCTGGCCCAAGGAGAAAGCTCTTCCGCAGGCAGCCCTGCACCCTGCTTGCCCTATACGGGTAGGGATCTGGGTCCTGCGTTTGCTGCCTTGGGGCCCACCTGGAGCCAGTGCAACTAGGAGCCATGGAAGGGTCTGAGATGTCAGAGACGGACACCGATGGGCCAGGTTCTGCTCGGTGTAGATCTGCTGCCCACGCGCAGTAACCCTGGATTTACACAGCGCTGGCCAAGTGCAATTAGGTGCACTGGCCTCTGAGGACAAGCAAGCAGCAGGGCAGGCTGGTTTGCCCAGAGCACCGGGGAGGATGAGACAGGACAGCGTGCGGGAGACGGGCTCTGCGTTGAGTCTCCCTCATCGGTAGCTCATCGGGATCAACCCAAGACCTCCGCGGGGCTCCCCTCTAAGGCCCAACCTCCGGACGGCCCGGAGCCCCGGTGCATCCCGTTTGCGTCCCGCCTCCTGGCTTGCAAGATGCTGACCTGAGATGAACACGGCGCAGGCAAACGTGGGCCTGATCCGTACCACACGCGCTATGCTTCCTGGGCAGCGGGGCGGGGCTGCGGTCCAGGGCTCGGATAGGTGGGCGGGTACGAGGGTGCTGCACAGACTCACTCTGTTCAGCCAGGGGAGGGCGGGGGCAGGCGGGAGGTGCTGAGAGGTGCAAAGCGCTGTGCTCTGTGCTGCATGCAGCTGGGAGCCTCACCTGCCACTGGCTCTCCTCCTGCATGTACCTATGCACGCTCCTCTCGGCACCATCCACGGACGTTTCGCCCCCATCCCGCTCCAGCACGGGGAGCAGGTACTGAGAGGGGGGGCAGTACTGGACCCCAGACTCTGCGAGACACCAGACACACGGATGTGGGTGAGAGCCAGCCCAGGGAGGCCCTGCTTGCAGTCGGGGTCTCCCCCTCCCCCGGCAGAGGGCCAGAAGTGGGGCTGGCAGTGGCAGGCTCCGAAGGAAGCGCTAGGCTGGCTTCTCATCTCGGCCTCCAGCAGCGGGCCGGGCGGAGCACTGGTGCCCTTCTCCGGAGGGACAAACAAATCTTCCTTCTGGTGCACTTGGAGTCCCCAGACCCACTTCCACGGGGCAGCCTGGGGGGTTTCTCCCAGCAACGCTGCGGTTCTGGCCCACCCTGAGCGCTCGTCTTGCGGGAGCTTGGAGGGAGGGTTGTGGGGGAAGGGCGCAGCTCAGGGGGGCTGAGTGGGACAGGGAACAAGCTTCCAGCGTCGCTCGGAGAACCGTGCCAGCTGGGGCTGCCTGGGAGAGACCCGCCTGGAGCGCCGGGCCGGACCGGATTGGGGCTTAGCCGGGGCTGCTCCCCTTGCTTACCCTGGCACAGGAACCGCTGGACAGACTCGGTGCCAGCACTGCAAACAGCGCTCGGCGGGTACGTCATGGACGAAGCATCCAGGGTCAGAGCCTCCAAAAGAGAGAGCACAGAGCGCCAGCGTTCATCCCCACCCAGCAAACCAGGCCCGCAGCAGCAGGAGAGGGGAGCATCCTGGAGAGCTCCCTGCCGGACTTTCTCCGCACCCCATTAGATCCGCCCGGCAGCCCGCGCTCACAGGCACCGTGCGTGGAGGGTGCCACTGGGCAGAGAAAAACGGCCCCATCTGCACAGGGAGGGTGTCCCCCAGCTCCACCGGGGACAAGTAACTGAGTCACCATAGCAGGGGGTCCGCACTGCTCCCGGGCCTGGGGCGGGCGCCTGGTGCTGCCGGCGCGCATAGGGGCTGCATACCTCCAGCGTGCGGATGTGGGCCAGCGCCCGGGGCAATTCCCGCAGCAGGTTCTCACTGATGTCGAGCGTGCGCAAGCTGCGCAGCCCAGCCAGGGTAGCAGGCAGCTCCTTCAGCTTATTACCTGGGAAGAAAGGGGACGCCAATTAGTGCACCCCTGAGCCACGCTCCAGAGAACCCACCCCTCTGAACTGCAAGCCCCAGCCTCAGCTGCCAGCTACCTCGCTACTGGCCAGAGAGCGTACTGTGCACCCCATCGCCTGGCCTGCGGGACGTACCTGTGCTGGGCAGCTTGCAGAAACGGGGCTCAAAGCAGCCCAAGGAGGCTGGCCAAAAGACAGGAGAGGCTGGGGCACAGGGCTGTGGACAGCCACCAAAACTTGCCCAGAGCCACGGGGGAGGCGAGAAGTTAGCCCTTCCGAGCAGCTAACCTGCTGCTCTCGGATCCCGAGGGGTGACCCGCCAGCTGCCAGTTCTTAGTCTCTGAGCTCGCAGGACCTCTTGGTTCCAGCCCGGTTATTGAAGCGCGCGCCGTGCACGCTCTCTGGCCGGGCCAGTGCTCTGTGATGTGCCTTAGCTGGCCGTCGGGGCCTATCCCGCATGCCCGGCCTGAGACTCACCGGCTCAGCTATTCCAAGCACTCCATGGTGGGGGAAGGGGGCAGATCAGTCCCACTGACTCTCCTGCAGCAGCCGCGCTCACTGAGACACAGAGTCTGGGGATGCCTCGGGGGGCACGTCTCAGCACCCTGACCCCCGCCTGAGGGGACAGCTCCACTGCTAGCACGGCAGCCTGAGTCAGTGACCCCCGGGCTGGCGTGCTGCTGTGGGGGTGCAGTGCAGATGTACCCGAAGAGGCTCCACACCGGGCTGGAACGTCTCCGCTCCACTGCAAAGACGTGGGATGGGAGGGTAGGACACGGACTATGCAGCTAAGGGAGAGAGGGCAGAGCTTCAGCTCAACACAGCTAGTCCTGCGCTCCCTCACCCTCCCGTGCCTAGCAGCCTGCCTCACACTGCTCCCCTTACCAGCCTTCTCCCGGCTCTGCTAAGCCCCTGCGGCTCTGGGGGACGGCTGGCCCTCTGGATCCCAAAGACGACAGGCCTGGAGGGCTATCTGGCTGGGCCTATCTTAGAGCCCGGCTAGTGCAGGCTGCTAGCGCACACCTGCCGCTGCCCCCCTCCTTGTGGCGCGCTACACAGCGTCAGAGACAGGTTTTCAGAGAGCTCTATGGCTACACCCCTCACTCGTCTCTCAGCAGCGTCTAGCTCTTCCCACACCCCCAACACCATCATCACAACCCAACTAAAACGGGGCATTTCAACAGCACAGATCTACTGCTTCCGGGCCCTCTACCAGCCCAGTCGAAAAGCGCACTGACCTATGCCTGGAGCAGCGCAGGGGGTTTCATAGGAGACCAGGGACAAGAGGCGCATCCCCCTGCCTAAGAAACAATCCCAGCACTCAGACATTTCAATCCTCTCCTGCTTGCCTGACTCCCCCGGCAGGCTCCTGTTCCCACGGCGCTACACACTATCAAACATGCTACTCAGCAGAGAAGAGTTTGTGCAAAGGAAACTCCCAAGCACAAACTTAGTAAACAAAGCGCTAGGTGCTAATGGGCTCTGTACAAGGGACAAGCCCACCAAATCTAGGAAATGACTAGTCCAGGTGGCAAACAGCACATGTGAAGGACACCGCCCCCGACAGATCAACAGTCCCCCACCCAGCACACCCTCCCCTGCCCTCCAGCAGGCAAAGTCGCCATGCACAGACACAGATGCAGACTGCCCCTCTTTGCTTGGGAGAGTCAAGGGCCGTGTAAACTAAAGCAGAGTGCCCAAAGGGCAGCCTTAGGGCGAAATACAGACCCGGGAGGTCGAATACACAGCTATCCTAGAACGGCTGGCCTGAGCCGGCACAGGACTGTGATCCTGAAATGCTGGACAGCTTGAACAAACAATAGCGTTTGCTCATCTAAGGAGGGAGACACCAGAAGGAATTCTAGGTGTGAACGTGCCATGTGGCTTTTAAACACAGCAGTTACATGCAGACTGGCATGGCTTGGGGGCTGCTGCAGCACTGGTCTCTGGGTGCCCAGCCTTGCCATACCTTTCACATTGAGGGTCTGGAGCTGGGAGAGGTCCCCTACTGACCGCGGCAGAGCTTTTAAGAGATTTCTTTCAACGTTTAGGACCTAGGGTGTTAAGAGAGAGAAGATATTCAGGCGATTTGTTCTGTAACCCTTGGAACCACTGCCTGTCTGTGCTGTGCCAGGGTGCCCAGGAGCGCGAGGGGCTCGGAACTGCTCGAGCCAGTCACTCAGGGACGCTGACCAGAGGGCAGAGCACCCTCTTGGCCTCGCTGGGAAAAGCTCCGACGGATTTGTCGGTGGACGGTCCCTCCAGCATTGGAGCGGTGCAATTACGTCCGTGTGACTCAAGCTGGTCGGAAGCATGTGGAATATTCACACCCTGGAGCGCCATACGTTTTGCTGACACATGACGCAGGCTGTCGTGTAGACATGGCCTGAGTGTCTGGCTCTGCTCTAGCTTCAGGAGCAAGATCCAGAGCGTAGCCAGTTTCTCAGAACAACGATGATTCCCCTTCACTGATGAAAACAGAACACGGAGCCGAGTCCGGGGCAGCACGTAGGAAACAGCCGGGCCTGCTGCTGTGGCCCAGTGCCCAGCTTTTCCCTTTGCTTGCACAGAAAAACCAGCCAGCCTGAAGTCACACACAAGGCACGATTAACACGCTGGCAACCTGGGGGGTCAGCCAGCCACGAAGATGATCAGGCGGCTGCTATTTACTGATGCATTGGCCGAGAAGTAACCCATAGCTGTCCAGGGCTACTCTTGGGGGAATTCTCTGCTAGCTGCTCTGGCTTCGGAGCAGCTCCTGGTAAGTGAGAGCTGGAACGGCAGCACTTCTGAGGCAGAAATGTATTTTCTGTGGGAACGGGGGGGACCCTGCAGGGCACGGGACTTCTGTGTGTGCACAGTAGTGTGGAATTCTCTCCGGAGCGGCAGGGTCAAGGGCAGATGCAGTCCATTTTTGTGTCAAGGTCCAAATTTCTTGGCCAAGGTTATGGTCAAGATCTAGACTTGACACCACAAGTGCCCTTGTTCAACCAGCAGATACAGGGCTGTGTAATACACCTGGGCTTACTGCTTATCTTCTTAATTCAATTCTGGTTGGCTTCCCCCTATTCCCAGGGCAGGGAGCCAGGGCCTGGCTCTGAGGCCCTGTGCGGGGGCAGGGCGCCAGGCTGAAAGAGGCCTGGCAGCCCCTCTTACCTGGTGGGCTGAGTGACCCAGCTTCCCCCAAACCTGCCAATAGCCAGCCAGCTCCCTGCCCAGAGGGACTCCCACTGCCCCGCCCCCGCCACTCCTGGATGCCGGGGGGCTGCTCCATATGGCTTCAGCCCTGCTTGGCCTCCACTCATTTGACCTGCACAGTCCCCTGAAATGGGTCTGGACCTGGCCCATGGTCGCCAACTGACTACCTTGGTCTAGGTGCGTTTCCCAATTTGATTTGGCCACAGAACCCTTTTAAACTTGGAAGAATCGTGCGGAACCCCTAATAACAATCTTATCTACAGGGCTGAAAAGGCAGACCACAAACAAGTAAGGCTAATAATAAACAAATGCTAAACGAGGTCATGAGCTCATTCAGTTTAATTGCACATATTTCAAAACACAAATCACATTTAATGTGTACAAAAAATAAAGTTCAAAAACTAACATGCATCAAATGCGACTGGAATGGAATTTTCTCGCGGAACCCAGGGTTCTGCAGAGCACCACTTGGGAAACCCTGCTCTAGGGGCATGATCAGAATTCAGTGGCTTGGTTTATTCATATTTGATCTGGCATCTCACAATATGGAACTAAGTTCACCTACACATCAGCCAGTAACCTGCAGGAGGGCCAGTCTAAAACCATCAGTCCTGGCGCAGTCTGTCTCGGGAGACACTGCAACCATTATTCCCTGCCTGAGACTTCTGCGGGAGCTCAGTGCTCCCTAGGGGAGACCCCCGCCAGAACATGGAGCAAAGTCCCACCTCCTCCGACTGGCAGATGCTGATTTCCCTCTTCTCCAGATGTAACATCTTTCCTAGCCTCTGTTGCTAGAGCACCGCCTCCCGACAGACGGGCAGAGCAACCGCCCAATCAGTGCACGCTGCTGAGCTCTCCGCTCATTTGGTCCCATCACGGTCCAATCCCGCCCCAGCCGGGGAGCCCATCTCCCTCCTCCACGACACACAGCTCCCCAGTCTACAGAACAGGGCTCCCAAGGTCCCTGCAGAAGGCAGGACTCTCGCAGGACACGTGCCCCTCCATACAACGTACAACGTGCACATACTTTAAGCCTTTTAATGCTCTTCCTCATTTCTCAGGAGACAGGGGCCCTGTGCTGCAGCAGGTCCCAGCACGGAATGTCCGGTAACTTCCTAGAGCAAGAGGGAGTCATGAACTCCAATGCAAGTCTGCTCTTCCTCCAGCGGTGACAGGATGTGCTTTAGTCTTTAAAGTGCTACATTGTCCTGCATTTTGCTAGAGTTACAACAGGCACACTGGGACCGTCGCTCTCCACACAGTCGGTCCACAGACGCTGCAGGACCTGAGTACTCCAGAAGGCGACAGGGCTGGAAACTCCAGCCTCCCTCTGCCTCTGGCACACGTGTGGTGGCCAGCTGGTTTGCCAGTCCTGCCCTAGCCTGAGGCCAGTGAGAGCAGAGTGCTGTTAAACTCCCCCCAGGAATGCAAAGCACCTGCCACACCCCGTCCTGCCATGTTTCACTGCCATTAACCTGGCCCCTGGGGACGTCGAGAGAGTGACAAGGACCCGAGCCACTGAGGACTATTAGTTACAATACCGATTAGCTGTTTAACGGCAATAAAGCCCAATCATGCTGTGCTAAAGAGGCTCTTAAAGCAGACACCCAGAACTCAACCTCCAAACCCCGTACCTGGAGATATGTCAGCTGCCCAATATCCTCAGGAAGCCATGCCAGCTGGTTGTCATGGAGATCCAAAACCTAGGACAGGAGGAGATTCCGATATAAAGCAGGCTCGCGGCGAGGTGCCCCAGCTGGGCACAGGAGGAGAGGAGTTACCCCGCAGGGAAAGTCACTGCCAGGCTGCAACCTGGTACTTCTAAAAACATCAGGTATCCAACTCCTATTGCCTCCCCGGGGAGTTGGGCACCTGTCTCCTGTCAGTGGTCCAGCGGCCCCATGTCCAGCAAAGGCAGGACACGTCGTAATTGGCTCCAGCTTGGCCAAGGGAGATTGAGGTTTGCACGAGGAAAAGCGTCCTACCTCCACAGAGCGCTCACCCTGCAGCAGGTCGCCCAGGGAGGTCGCGGGGAGCCTTTAAGGACAGGCTGGACAAAGAGCTAGAAGGGAGGGCCTAGGGTTACCTGGCCCCGCCTCAGCGCAAGGGGCTGGACTGGCTGAACTCACTTGACCTCGTCCAGTCCTGCATTTCTAGGGTGCCAAGACAATCCCTGCCTCTGCCAACAAATGGATTCCACAGTGCAGTGACGGGAGCCTGGCGAAGGCGGGAGATCAGGGGAGCAGCCTTTGCACCCCCGCGCTGCCAGTCCCAGGGTGAGACACTTGCTTGGTTCCCTCTGCTCTGTAACCCCGAGGGCTGCCGAAGAGAAATGCTGTCCCGGGGCCACTCACCTTCACCGTTACGAGATTCAGCAGGCTGCAGGACTTCGGAACCAGAGCGGTGAGGTTATTGGTGTGAACAATCAGCACCTGCAGAGAGCAGAACGCTGGAGTCACCTGACGGGAGACAGCACAGCCTGCACCTTCATTCTGGTGAGGGGCGCTCAGGGGATTCAACTCAAGCCGATATTTATTCGCGTGAGTGGAACAGGCCAGAGACAGACAGTGCAGCTGGACTTCAGGGGATCTAGATCATTTCCGGCTCAGTGGTGCCTGAGGTCATGCAGGCTAAGGCAGCAGGAGATGAGATTCGATCCAGGTTCGTTCTGCAGAGGCTCAGCAAGGATTCTCCTGACACAGAGGCCCGCTGGGGGGCCCTAGTCTGTCAGCAGTGCCCTTCAGGCCTGTCAGAGTATTAGTCTGTAAGGAAGATCACGTGGGCTACTAACCGGAGGCTTAGCACAGCAGCCCCCAAAGCAGCCAGGATGGTTAGGAGGGCGGGATGTGGGGGTTGAGGCTAGGGCTGGAGTGGAGCCACAGCCAGGGGCCAAGGCTGAGGGCGGGAGGAGAGCTGCAGCCAGGCTGTGTGGGGGCCAGCAGCCAGGCCCTCAACCAAGTGTGGCTCCACTCCCAGCCAGCAGCCTCGTCCCTGTGCCAGGAATGGAGCCATGGCCAGCAGCCAAGGCTGGGTCTAGCGCAAAGCCAGGAGAGGAGCTGAGGCAGGGGCTAGGGCTACATGCAACACAGAGAGCTGGGGCCGGAAGGGGCTGGGTGGCATTTCCTACCTGCCCCCATGGGGGCTGGTCTGAGTCCCACCATGTCCCCCAAAGGGAGTGCGACCTATTGGTCACTGTAAGTGCTGCGCGCTGTATGGACGGGTGACAGGAAGAAGCTGTATGTAGAGCTACAATGCCCTAGACA